CGGAGCCCCAAGCATCCTGCCCATCTCGTGCTTGGCTAGCGTTTCCCTTTGGAGCTCAATCTGGACTGGCTCCTGCTGGATCGTTAGCTGAAAGGTATCGTAATTTAACTTTAGATATAATTATTCTACCTGATTACAATAACCCGACACGGGACATTCATGCTTGTTGTAGCTTTTCGAGACGACTTGCTATGGCGGCATTTTTAGGTGATCTGAAAATCGCGAAAATTATTAAGGAAACATTTTTTGCAAGGTTTTTAAGAAAGCAACAAGCTCAAACGGTCAATCCATGTTTTTGCAGCCGCTTTCCCTGAAATCGAATAAAAATTAGCGTAGTACTTCGAGAGATGAAAAAGAAGGAGGGAAATACCCCAAAAAAGCAAAAACACGAAAGTGCATGGAAAGGAGCCTTGAAATTGGCGGCACAACTTTGAATACACCTAATTTTGCGACGGTCGTAGGCAGTGATGTAGAAACAAACTTAGCGGTTTAAAATAATGGAAAACGTCTAAAGTATAAAAAGTTTTTATTTAATTTATAACTACTTTAAATTAGGCACATTCTACACGTTTTTATAAAGAGAAAATAGAAAAAAGCATCGACTCAACATGACAAATAATTGGGCTCATAAAAAATTTCCGGGGCATCCCCCTCACATTCCACGAAAAAACCAACACCCGATCTATAAGCTACGACTCTACTCGACTCTACTCGAGCAATTTTGGGAGCAAAGATCTCCCTTCCTCCCATTATTTTACATCACCCAACAACGAATAGATCGGGTAGCATTTTCGACCATTTTGGGAACATTTCTCGGGAACAGATTTTTGCTTTTTAAAGGGAATTTACCACACTTACCCCACTAATTTACGGCATTTGGAAAAATCGCAAATTTCCCTAGAAAAGTAAGACGACAAAAATCTATAAGAAGCGTTGCAGACAGAAATTTCAAAGTACGTTCCATTCAACGTAATGATCCAAAAAACTAACTGAAAAGCTCGGTAAATTGCAGTGAATCAAAGCAAAAAATGGCGTCCTTACCGTCTTCTTTTTCATTCAATTCTTGCTTTCCAAACAAACGGAAAACCAGAAAAATACCGCTAAAATTTTCATAAAAAAAAAGGCAGTTTTTTAAAAATCTGGCATTTTTTGGCTGTAAAATTTAAAAACAATAATTTTGCACATGGCGAATTTCTAAAGATTCCAAGCAAACACGGAAAAAGTCAGCCAGACAACCCGCAAAACGATCGCATCACCCGCGTTATATTCAGCACATTTTGGTGCGGTTCTTTGCAGAACTTTGGTGCTGAATTGGGTAGGGAATCACCCCCTTCCTTGCCCCTCTTTCCCTCTTTCGTGCTTTTCCGCTTTTCGCCGACTTGTTTTCCCGATCCCCGGGTCACCCAGCGAATATTTGAGGAACATTTGGCGAGAGGGGAGACAGGTAGAGAGAGAGAGAGAGAGTGACTGAGAGAGAGAGATAGCGCGAGAGAAAGAGACCCAGGTACCCCAGTCACAAGGTACATCTAATGTACCGGAATATGGTTGCCGATCTATTGCTCGACGTGCACCCAGATGTGGGGAGGTTGTTGGCCTTTTCGAAGGGGCGGAGCCTAGCTAGCAGGATGGAATGCGTGGGCTGGACTTTGAGATGGATCGCCTATTTTGACTAGGAAGAGCAATTGGAAATTTATCTGAATGGGCTCAAGTCTTTCCTTTCCATGATTTTATTAACAACAGGCTACACCGTCCACATTCCCATTTATCTCTGCCAGTTTCCCTTTTAATTCGGCCCAAAAAAGAACCGGTTCCACAATGATCGCTGCTAGATTGCTTGAAAATACTTTGATACTACTTTGATATTGACAGCCTCGAAAAATTAGTCGTATATCACTTTTAGCTTCAAGCGATTGCTTGATCGAGATTCCAAGCAAAATACCCAATTCCTTAAATAGTCTCTGCTAGCTTGCCTTAAAAATGTGATATCTCCTTTTTGGGGTTTTCCAACGGTTTCCACAATTCTTTGTGTTAGAATACTTTAAAACTCCTCAAACCGTCGTTTTTGGGACCGGCTAGAAATTGAAAAGCCAATTTCCAAAACGTTCCTGCTAGCCTGCCATTTTTGGAAGTGCTCGGATGAAAGATAGGGTTTTCTAGTGATCAAAAAGGAAAACGAAAAAAGAGAGTTCCTCGTCTATGAACGGCTTTATAAACCCTATGCTTATGGGAGTCTGCCTGACTGATAAAACCCTGCCTGAACCAATAAATAAGGATAATCTGTCCTTGCCACTTTTCGGGGTTCCAACGAAAAACAGGCTAAAAATACTATCTGCTGGCTTAAGTAAATTTGACTGAATTCCAACCATAATCCTGACAATACCACAATAACCTCCCTTTTCAAAGAATTGTCGCGATTATCGCTGTCGGAATTTTGGTCTATCGGGATTTTGACGGCCGGTATTTTGGATGTGGAGATTTTGGCGTTCTCTAAATATTAGTATCCCCAAAACAACAATTCTATAATTTTCATGAGGCTTTATCAAACAAAAAGGAACACACAGCATCGAGGATATGGCGAAAGACGGAAAGAAATTTGTCAAAATATCGTGATTGTAAAAAAATCGAAAAACTGACGATAATAAGGCAAATAGGGTAGGTTATATGCATCAGGATAGGCTTAAAAGAATGTTATAATATGGCTGAATACATTCACCGGATCGGCAGAATCAAAAATATTTTTATGAAAAACGCTTTCGATAAAAAAACGAAAAATCAGAAAAGTCTGGAAAAGGAAAATTGGCAAAGTGATAATCGGACAATGGCAAGCGTAAGAATTGGCAAAATGGGGCTAGCAGTGGAATGTACAAAAAGAAACAAAAGACGCAAAATTTCGTAATTTATCATAGGTAGAACAAAAACTTTTGATAAATTGTAAAAGTTTTCGATTTTTATGATTTAAATGCATTCTAAAGGGAAAATGACAGCAAGGTTTTACTTACGCGCTTTCTATCACCTTCTCTCTCTACCTCTCTCTTTCTCACTATCGCTCTTCTCAAACCCTTGCTGCGAGGCCCCTTTAAAATCGATAAAAATACTAAACGACGGTATGCGTAACATTTTTCCGAATTCCCGTCGTTGGCGATCGTTCCGAAGATCTTGGCGAAGCGTCCTGCGTGGATCCCCGTCCCCTCGAAAATCCACGATCCGGGGATACGGTACTATCATGGCTCGACGGACCAGGCCATCTAGATCTTCTGGCCCCGCCCTCTTCGTCGATTCTCATCTCAAAGCGACGGGCCGAGCTATCGGAATCCTAAAAACGGGAGTTCAGAGTATTGTCGAAAGAATCTCCTAATGTAATTGGTTGTCCGATGGAGCGTACCTCTTCAAGCCGCTTCCTTGGCGGCGACGTCGAGATCCTGAAGCGTGGTGGGCGGATTCCAGAGCCGATAGACGCCTTCATACGGCCTTTACCTCCCGAGCTGCCGCTACTTGTTCTAAACATTTATCATGTCTGAAAAGTGGTAGGAAACGTAGGCGATTGTGACGATTCGATCAACACGTTACGACAGGTTAATTTAGGCGTTTTACGGAATTTCCTTCTACGTTTTTACGGTCTGTTTACTTACGTCATCGGTAGAAGATGTGTATGCTCATCGTTCGATTCACTATCTTCCGTAGTAGCCCCGCCAAACAGCGAATAATCAGCCATTATCGGGCTCATCATCGCCGACGTGTAGCTGTTGTGCGGATTTGCGTACAACTGCGCCAGGGGTGAATTCTGGAGCAGATCAGCGCTCGGGGATGGCTCGTCGAAACTTTGGAAATCGGTGTGACTGCTTGGAGATGGTGAATAGTCCTCGTTACTGCTGAAAATCCGGGTTTAAGGGGAGTCTCTCTTTCTCTCTCTCTCTCTCTCTCTCTCTCTCTCTCTCTCTCTCTCCCTCTCTCCCTCTCTTGCCACTTATTTTTCAAGCTTACATTCTCCTCGCATTTGCCAGCACCGGCTCCAAAAGTGAAGTTGCCGCCCTCCCATAGCTATTCGAAGACCTTGATGAACGTCTTGAAGATGACGGTTGTGGTGCGACTTCCCGAATCTCCACCCCGGGTGGTAGTGAATGGGACTGCGAGACAGAGGAGCTACCGGAGCTGAAAAAAGATCATAGCTATCGATTTTTTATGGACTAATATCTTTGAAAAAATGTTTTGCCTCGTTTTCTAAACCAAAAATGGTTTTATCAGTCTTAACAAAGTTTTCCTACCTCCTTGACTGCCTATCGACATCCTCCGGAATTCGGTAGTTATGCAAATCACATCCAAAAGCTGGGTTTTCGATCAGCCGAGGCTTGGAGGAGCTGAAATTTGCGTTACAAAACAAGGGTCATCCCAACGCTTTGCTCCTAAACGCCAAAGCCGGATCGACAGTGGGTGTTGTCAAGTCGCGGCCGCTCGAGTTTGGCGTCGAGCTTCTGAAAGAAATGGTATCTTGACTTTCATGAGGTAGCAAATACCTGTCCGAGCTGTCGTCCTGTTGTTGCAGATCGCGAAGTCTGGAAGAGCCGCGAGAAGCTGTCTTGTATGACTCGTCACGAGCGCTACAGGAAATTGTATTGGGCAGGATGAGCTATGCTACGCTACGATGCGATCAGCAGCGATACGATAAGGTACGTCACTTACGATACGATACAATGGAATAGGCTATGGTACGCACCGACTACGATCCGATCGATACATTACAGCAAACTAAATTACCTTACGATACATTACGCCAGGCTGCGAAGCGCTACGCTACAATACGCAAGGGTACACCACGGTCCGGAACCCCTACAAACGCTACCATTACTATTTTTAAGAGTTCCTAAAAACTACTTTAGCTGGCTAGCTCTCGTAAAGCTTTTCCTCGCGTAATTAAGCTTTGTAGTACTTTCTTCGAGTCAACATCCGTAATAACGGTTTTTTACCTATAGTCATCTTCTTCCCCGATGTTGGATCCATTCCTAGGTGATCTTGAGTGCCGAGGCGATCTTGACGTCCTTGGGGAATGTCTTGGAGATCTAAAATTTGCCTTATTAATCAAATCGCTCTCTCTCTCTCTTTCTCTCTTTCTCTCTCCCTCTCGCTCCCCTTTATCTAGTTCTCTCGCTTACTTTGATCCAGAATGCGACGGTGATCTTTTGCTTCCAACAGCCGAGGTGACGTACATTTCTGGGTGGAGCAGATTTCGACGCTCACCATCACTAAAATTCGATAATGGTATAAGCATCCCTGAAAAATTGCCTAAAATTCTTCTTTGAAAAGCATCATTTAAAAAAATACTTAAACTTACGAATTCTCAATATCATGCTGGTCCTCATCAGGGGACGTATAAAACCCAGAATGCCGATTTTGTGCTTCGATGTCCCGGTCTTCATCCTCTTCCTCCTCATCATCAGTCCTCGGATCATAGCTTAACGATAGCACTTGTTTTTAGTCGATCCTGTCACAATTAGTAAGTGAGTGATATCTGGTTACTGACAACTAAATAACTAAAATTGGTTACAATATGGGTCTCCGGGCGTACTCCCTCCTGTCGGCCAGTCCGATGCAGACGAGGAAGTTCTGTTTCCAGGTGAGTTTCACGGGTCGGGCGGCGGCTTCTTCACGTTGTTCTTCCTTTTCAAACTCGTCCTCGCCGTCGGTGCCGTCGACCTCGGAGACGCTTCTGAAGAGGTAAGAAATTAGCCTGGAAAGCGAGTGGGAGAAAGAGAGAGAGAGAGAGAGATAGCGGGAGAGTGAGAGAAAGCGAGCGAGAGAACGGGAGGAACGAAAGCAAGAGAAAGCAAAGTCACCGGATGAAACCGAGAATGAAAAATCGTGACAGCGAGAGAGAGATAGAGAGAGAGAGAAAGAACGAAAACACACCCCAGTGAAGGCACAAAATGCCTGGCCGAATTGTTCGACATCTTTGATATCCGATGCGATTCCTCGTCCGAGCTGTACGTCTTGATGGCGTTCGTCCGTTTCTCCAGATTCTTCTTCCGTCTCTCTAGCAACTTCTGTTCCCTCTGCTTCCGCCCACCAGCCAATTCGAAGATTTTCTTCTTCTCCTCGGTTCGTTCCTAGAAATAAGCCTCCAAAATCTCTGTTTTCAAACCTGTGTCAGCTGCTTTGTCAAGTCATGGTTCGCCTCCTTTAGTCCTCTCACAAGCGCGAATAAGAAGTAGATGATCAAACTAAAGCGTTTTTGATCGGTCTTTGTAGTTTGTAGCCTACAGCAAAAGGAGCAAGGTTGGTATAATAATCCCGGGAGACGACATGTACTGAATCGCCTCCACGACGGAACCCGGCAAGTTGTCGTTCAGCACATCCAAAATCACGGTGTAGAAGTGGCGCTGGTTTCTAAAAAGCCTTCGACAGTAGTTCACTAACTTTTTTGGAACTATCAGGCAAAAAGCAAAAAGTAAGCCCAATGCGGGGCTCGAACCCGCGACAACCAGATTAAGAGTCTGGTGCTCTACCGACTGAGCTAACCGGGCGGCGAGGGAGGGACAGGGGTGGGGGCTTATGAAGGGGTGGGGCCACTGACCCGCAAATGGCAAGAAGGACAGGTCAAGGAGGGCCATAAATTTTTGTCGAGATTCACGGGATTTTTTTTGGTATATTCTCATCAGAAGCTACATTGCTGTTTAGAGAATTTTTAGTCAGATTTATGATAGATTTTTGTATATAAATATTTTGCTCTAATAGGAGGGCCGAGAATCATCATTTTTGTTTAATTTTTAAGCAAATATTTTTGGGTTTTTTATCAGATGGTAGCCTTTTACTTTATAAAAATCAGGCAATTAGATACGAGTGTTTTATCTATACACTAATCGCGGAATCCAATTGAGTGTCAAATATTTTGCCAAAGTTTGATTGACTTTTTGGGTTTCTAACCAACGGTATCCTATGTTATTCAGCTAATATGAAATCCAAATATTTAATTTTACGTCAGTTTCGCTAACTTTCAACCCCCTCTAGTTTGCTCATCCCCTGCCGCCCAAGTCACTTCCTGGTCAAAAGCACAGCAGCCACCTAGTCACAAGCACTTTCCCGGGGGCCACTCTCAAGCGATTGATTGGGCCCAGTTTGGCCCAAAATATGAGCTGGAGGGGGAGGGCTTTAGAAATGATCAGGTTCGTGAAAATAGGTATAAGTAGTACACTAAGTGCGAAAACACCCACTTGAAAGGCCCGCAATTCTTCGATGGCTCCTTGGAAGCTATCACGTATCCGACGGGTACCGTGCAGATGAATAACATGACGAGCAGTAGGAAGAGGTAGAAATTTGAGGACCTGAAAGTATTTAAAGTTTTTAAGGTTTAAAATTATATGATTAAAACTTGTTAAAGCCTTATCTAAAAGACGCAAATACATAATAGTTATCGAAAACTTAATTATTCAGGTTTTCTACCATCCTTTCACAAAAATTAACGCCATTTTTGATTAATAATTATTTTGATTGGATCTTGAATCATTTAAATTAGTTTGTTCTATGGGTATGTAGGTTAAATAGTAAACAATTTTGGATAGAAAATAATACTACACGGTAAAAACATACCGTGAAGCTCGAAAAATCTGTCTCGCCGGCACATTACACGTCATGCAGGCCCACGCCCGGATGTACATGATGATTATTAACTGGAACATGATAATGACGGGCTTTATACTTAAACAACAAGGTAGATGAAGTCTTATGTAATTTAATGTTTTACCTTAAGATTATTCAAAAACGGAAGCATCGGTACGAAAAATAGCCCCAGCCAAATCATGCCCTGGTTGTTGACGAGGTGCAGAACATTTTCGGCCACTTTGAACTCGCCGTATTCGGGCTGAAAGAAACATATTTTTATTTTTTTAAAGTTGGTTGAACCTTGATTAAGCCGCTATTTGGGCGACAGTCTTTTTAAATTAATTTAATTAGGTTTATCTGCGCAACGCTAGTACGATTTTAATACTTTTTAAATAAATATAAGAAATTCTTTTGAACTTTTGCCGTTTATTCCCGACTTTAGTGCAATTTCCCCGGGTAATTTGACATTTTTTATGCCTTTTGCCTCCTTTGTTGGCTAATATGCCTCCTCTTTTTTCAATTTTGCATGTCCTTGAAGTCGATTCCACTTCCCATTTAATTACGAAACAATCCGGCAGCAATTTAGCTACCATCCTTTTCTTGTATGATTTTCGCCCGGCCCGGTTGACCCCGAGCAGGCTGGCCAAAAATTTCGGTTTCCCAGTCACGAGGACCGGGCCCGAGTTGTGCCGAAGCACAGGGTATAAACCTTGTGGAATGGGGGAGGGGTGGTCTCTTAAGAGGAAGGGGTGGACCAGGTGGGGGGCGAGTGGGGAAAGGGCAGCGGGCATCCAGAGAGCACACAGACAGCAGCCACAACGCACTAGCAGGGAGGCATGTTTTGAAATAGGGAAATGGCAGGGAATCGCAAAGAGTTTTTAATGTCTAAAAAGTTGCAGAAACTTATGAATTGGCAAGTTAATGTAAACCCAAACTGATAGGGAAAAGCCGTTTATCTCTTGTCACCAAACTGCAAAAACTGTTTGTAAGCTTCCTCTTCTTTTTATATAAGTATTTACAGTCCATTAAAATCATCCCGTATTTCAAAATGCTAGCTATAGAAAAGAACCTAAACGAAAAAAGAAAATGAAAAACTTAAGGAGCTCTGTAAAAACCGTTTTACCATCTAGAACCCCTTGAATTGCATATTTTCGGCAGTTCCCCTCCACTCCAACTACAATACAATCCGCATTGATCCCGTCCCCTGAAAGCAACGCGTCATTGGGATCCCCCCGTTTTCCCAGGAATCTCTCTGCCCTGGCCGGCGGTCTAAAGGGCCGCCAATTTGTCAAACGGCCGGCAGGCATGTTTTTTTGGAGGTGGAAGAAGCTTATTCCTTTGTTTCTCTCTCTGTTTCTTTCTCTGTTTCTCTCTCTGTATCTCTCTGTTTCTCTCTCTCGCAACCTCATGCTGATTCCGGGGACACCTGTTTGGTCTGATGCTCAAGCCTGACACACCACACTACAAGCCACTTATTGTCTATCAATTTCCGGGGGAGCCAGAGAGAGAGCGAGAGAGACAGAAAGAGAGAGAGAGAAGTAGAGATATGGCAAATACTCCTGGATTTAACCGATGATACGTATAAGTAACTCACAAAGGTCTTCTCCAGATTCCAGCACCACCACAAATTCGTATATCGAATAAAAAGCCCTCGAAAGAAATCGATCACGAGGATAGCGAGCACCGTCATCAACAAGTCCATCGTCACGACTTTGGAAATCTCCTGAGCAAGGTTTTGACTTTTTAAGCGAGAGTGAGAAGGAGAGAGGGAGAGAGGGGGAGGGAGAGAGAGTGAGATCCACCTACCTGTCCGATACGCGTCTCCCAGCACAGATCCTCATGCAAATTCGTCCACGACGACGCCATTTTTGGGGCCATTGTGGCGGCAATTGGGAAAGTGATCTGCTCCATCTGCGAGTAGTTGAAGTGGGTGCTCGGGCCGATTGGCTGAAAAAGAAATTGGCTAGCTTAAAGGGACTTTGACAGCCCGTCTGCTACCGACCTTCCACCAAATCAAACGCACTAAACGCTAAGCCTCCTCACCTTGTAGCTGAACACTGTCACATTCTGGGAGGCCATCTGCCCATTGTTGGTAACTGCCGCCCGGGGACTTTGCACAGCAAAAGGGCCATAGTCGGCCATCTGAAAGACAAAGTTATTAGGTTTTTTACTATCTGGAGGCTTTTCTACGTGCTTATCACAGAAATTCGACTTACCACCGTAGTCCCCGGAGCGAGGGCGGACATCATGGTTGGTAGACGATCGACGAGACCGAGGAGATGCCGCAGAGAACTGGAATTTTATTGATTTTTACGATCCAATTCCTTTGATTTCCAGGGTCTTAAAGGCGAAATGCCTTCTCTGTCTTCTTAAAGGCACTCGCAAAGTTTGGCTATCGATTCCGGGGGTTTCGGCGTCAAAGTTATCGGTCCGTTGAGAAGCTTCAAATGCTCGAAAAAACTAAAAACTCACCGATGCCCCACTTGATAGAGCGCCTTGCTGTTCGCCAGATCATTCTGCAGATTTGCCATGTATTTCGCCTAAAATTCATTAACAACATTTTTGAAGTTTCGACGTACCTTCAACTGATCACGATCGGCATCGATCTTTGTCAACAACTCCAGCAGGGACAAGAAAAAGGTGTAGAAATTGACAATGTACAGCGCGGAGACCCTAAAAAATCATGGAATTAAATCAGCGTGAAAGCAATCAATTCAATCAATTAAATTCATTAAACTTAATAAACCCATTAAAACTAAAATTTTGTAGATACCTGACTAGCTGAAACCGCAACGCCGTCCTCGGGTGCAACTTCTCCATCTTGCCGATAATCTCGAAGACGTTCGGGAAAATGAGGGTGATGAACGAGACGACAATTGGCACGGCGTTCTGAAGATTTGAAAATTACTGTTTACTGTTTATTGTTTAAAATGTATAAAATTACGATAAATTATATTTTTAATGAATTTTCAGTTTCAACTGACCTGCTTGATGAACGTGTCCTTCTCCTTGATCTTCGACACGGCATCGATGGCCCAGCCTGAGAAAACGAGGAGGGAGACGATCAACAGATTTGCCAGGATTCGCTGCAGGATTTGGAGGAATTGCACCTTGCTTTTGAGCTTGACGTTGAACTCGGCGATTGCTTCCTGGAAATGACGAATTAGTAGAGGCTTGAAATCGAAATTTTGCGCATTAAGGATTCCCTATCACGCTCCTTTAAAGGGTCCGGCAAGCCAGACCTATGGATTTTTTTTTGCTATGGGTTTTCTATGGTTTTCCGCGTCGCGACACGTAACGCACGCAGATTAGCCGCTCTTGACGATCGTAATCGATTTCAGAGAATGCTGCCCCCTTAATGCGCTCAAACCTCATCTAACTGAAAAGTTTTATCATGTCCTTGAACTGCTTGAAAATGTGGCAATGTGGACTGAACGCCACCAACTTGGCCGTTGATTTTGCATGCTTTTGCTGTCGATTTATGCTAATTTGTGACTTCTCGTGTGCGCATGGCATCATGGACGCGTAAAGTGTTACCCCGGATACCATTACCGGTCCACTTACCCGAAATTTGATGACATTTGCCATAACCACGTTGCTGGCCGTCTCCGCGTTTCCGATCGTATAATCCCAGCCCGTCCAGCTTTTCCAGTTGAAAACGTATTGCTCCGTTTTCCCGGAGGACAGCTTGCTGGTACGGGAGTTCGATGCCATTCTGGAAAACAGGACATTTATTTTTCTATCGATTAATTAATTTCATATATAGAAAAAAATTATCATTGGACCTCGAAAATCCTCTGTAAAACCAGACTCACTTCCGTAATATGATGAAAAACGAGTAGGCCAGGATCAGAATATTCACGAGAAAATAGGCGACCGGCACGCGGTACTGTATCGTGTCCCCAAAATACGTTTCTCGAGAGTAGAACCCGTAGAAAAGATGTGAGTATTGAAAGTAGCCCTGGAAAAAGTTAATAGAAATTCCATACCTTGAAAATTAAAAGAAAAAATCGCTATAAAACCTACCCCAAAATCCCAGATCATCATCAGCTCATCAGCGTGTTTTCTGACGTCGGCCGGCATTACCTAAAATGTATAGTTTAGGGACTTTGCGCTTTTTCAGGTGCTCTCTCGCTCCCTCTCTCTCCATCTCTCTCTCTCTCTCTCCCTATCTCTCCCGCCCTAACCAACCTTCAGGCTCATCGTCCGATTGTACCGATCACTTCCGACAGGCGCACGAGCGTCGGCTAGCCACTAAAAAAACATTTTTAAAGGCATTGACAAGGCAACTGACCTCTGGAAAAATCACAAAAAGGCCCATGATCATCGACATCACCACGTTGATGCCGAGGATCCACCGAAGGAATGTGAAATAGGAGGAGACCACGGAGCCGTAGTGGCCTGAAAAAAACGTAAAATACTTGACATTGAAAAATAGTAAGTCAAGCGACAGTCCAACGTTCCATACGCTCCAAATCTCGACTTACTCTCAATGCGCTTAATCTTCGCCTCCCATGGTATCAGGTATATCTTCAAATTATTAGACCATCGGTTGAACTGCGTGAATCTCCTGCCCAACTCGGATTTCCACAGCTGTATCCGGGAGACTTTTGCTTCCTGGCGCTGCAGATGCCGCCGCGCTACTCTGAACACCAATTTTTTAAGGATTTTCGCTGCAGAAATCGATGATTTTAGCCCTCTTAGAATTCTCACATTAACGTTCTCCTTTTCCGCTTCATATTCCAGGGCTGCTTCTTCAAATTCCCGATAATTTCCTTTTTATAGCGAATAGCTTCGAGGATTTTGTCCTTGGTCATGTTGTGCGAATCGTCCTCATCGCCGTCTTCGTCCATTCTAAATTCAAAAGGTTTTTCTCCTCCCTATCTTTAGCTTTTTCGATCTCTCTCTCTCTCTCTCTCTCTCTCTCTCTCTCTCTCTCTCTTCAAAAAACTTACTCATCATTGCTGCCTCGAATTCGATGCGATTTGATGTGAAAACTGGAGGATCGTCGAAATAGGGCAAGGAGATCCACCTAAAAATATTTCTTTTGATTTGTATGAACTTTTAACGACTTAATTCAGATACTACTCTACCATGCAGAGTGTGAAAGTGAAGAATTGCACTAGGATGTCTAATCCTCAAAAACCCACCAAAACCGAGCTCCTTCGGCTCAACCGACTCGACTCCTCCTCCCGACTCTCCGTACTCATCGACGTCGGTCCGTCATGATCTGATCGACTATGCGTACTGCCATCATTTCTTGTATCTAATCTCCCATCCGTTGCCCCATCCGTCCGACTGTTGAGCCGGCTTTCCTCTTCGTCCGGAGACGCGTCGCGTAGCCCCAGACGCCCCAGACATCGTCGCATTCTGGGGGCGCGACCGTTGGAGCCAGAATTTTGGGGTTTTGGGGATTTTGTTGCGCCTGAAATTCGTTTATTTGGGGGGTATAGAAAATGCTGAAAATTGAGAATTTGCATTAGAAAAACGTCGCAAGGCGTATCGTAGCGTAGTGCGTACAATACGGTTTATCATAACGTGATCTATATATCGGGATTTTGGACAGCGATACCAGAGAGAGAGAGAGAGACTAAGGAACATGCAGGGAGAGAGAGAGGGAGAGAGAGTGATTCCGTTAGAGAGCATGAGATCGAGTGAGAGCGAGCGAGATAGACACAAAGGCAGTGGTCGAGCGAGATGGTGAGGTAGAGAAACAGAAAGAGGAAGATAGCGAGAAACAGAGAAAGAGAGAGATCTTAAAATAACGAAAAGCATGGTTTCCTAGCTTAATTAGTACAATTCCTGATCCCTCGGCCAGCCTAATCGAAGTGCCCCTCGGGCCGTTCCACCTCTGTCCCCGTTCCCCCCGTTGAGCAATTATCGAATTGTAATGGGGAGAGCGGGTCTCGGATGTGTGGACCAAAGGAGGGGGATCTCGATCCGGGATGTCTTGCTCACTCTCTCCTCACCCTCCCTCCCTTTCTCTCTCCATCCACTTCCTTCACAAAGTGTTCTTCCTTCCCCCTTCCTCCTCGTGCCCCGCAGGGCATGTGTCTGTTCGTTTGTCGATGCGGGGTTTGTCTGTCTGTCACAGATATCAATACGAGGGCCACACTCACACACTCACACTCCGAAAACAGCTCATAAAGTGGAAGGGAGGAGGGGATGAGGAGGAGCAGGAGAACAGTTGTAGCTACTTGGGGTGGAACACCCGTTTTTTGAGACCTGAGATGGCTGGCGTTGGTGGTAGAGAGATACTACTTGGAGGCCCAATTTTTGGTATGTAAAGGGTGCTTCTCTCTTTCCCACTGTGCTAAAGCTGATTTTGCAACAAATTCTCTGATTGATTTCTATGAATCTATGATTGCCGATCTACCAACTCCAAGAAGGCGGTTGGGATAACGCAAAAAGCTTCTTGCCCTGAAACGCCTCTAGTAACTTTCATAGAATTTTATAGATGCCATTCCAAGGATCTGAGCAGTAGATGTTCACGCAAATTTAGATAACTAAAATTAGACCCGATTTGACAAAGTTATAGTCGTTTGAAGTCCGAGTTTCCTGATAGCTTACGGCTCAAATTACTGCTTCCGCTATGTGCCTTTAGACGAGTTTGGCCGCTTGCAAAATGAAGGACGAGTTCGAGCAGTTCGGCTACTCTGCTAACACCCTTTAAAAAACCTAGGGCTCGAGACCGAGACATAGAGACAGAGAGAGAGAGAGAGAGAGAGAGAGAGAGAGAGAGAGAGAGAGAGAGAAGAGAGGGAGAGAGGAAGAGAGAGGGGGGGGGGGGGGGAGAGACAGTGAGAGAGCCAGGTCAAGGCGTGCGTGCGAGAACGAGAGTGAGATAGAGAGCGTGTGAGAGAGAGCGCGAGGGAAAAAGACAGATCCCGGCAAAAACAGTACCAAAAACTGTCTAAAGACCTATTTGTAGCCACAAAACCACAACAAATCCTCCGGAGAAGCCCGGGACAATCTTCCCACCGGGACCACAATCAGTCGAGCCGTGGGGCCAGGGCCGACTTTTTGGTGGTGGCCGCCGGGGTCGAGCAGGGGATGGGGGAGAAGCACCGGGGGCAGCTGTCTCCCCTTTAGAGCTTCTGTCCCCCTTCTTGTGTTCTCCCTTCCATTCCATTCCATTCCTATCTCCACCGATCCACCACCACCACCATCTCTCTGGGTGTGTGTATCTGTGTGTGTATGTGCCCTCGAGGGATATGAGCCCTACCCCCCCCAACCAGGTACAGGACGGGGGAATGCGGAAAAAAGTTGACGCGCCCTGGTCGTGCTGTTTGGGCCGAGTGATGGCTAGTGCCCAAAGCTCGCCCCGGAAATTGTTACTTTTAGGTGATTTGGAAGCCCCAAAACCTTAAAATCGGCGATTTGCCAATCAGATTCGATTTGTTTCCAAGTGCTGAAAGCAAAATTGCGCACATTTTTTGATGGCATTGTCCATTTAAAGGGATAAGGAGGACCATCATAATTCAGATCTAGTCTAAAATTTTGGCGAGAAGCCGACCGGCTATGCCACATAAAAACTGGGGAGTACGTCAAGGGGAGATGGATCCGGACGGGCTTCCGTCGAGTAAATTGTTTTATGCGAATTTACATAGGTACTTTTCTCTTTAAAGGGGGTTGTAGCCAATGAAACTCTGGAAATTTCAGTTCTATATCAATTCGTCTGGATTCACCAAACTTCTGAATCCATCCACATAAAACGAACCATTTTTGGTGGATTAAAGGCATGGACAAGGAGAAATTATCAATTTTAACCGCGACACGCAACGCATGATGGTGAATTTCCGTTGCATGATGCAAAACCAAAAAAAAACTTTTAAGACGACGTATCATGGACCAAAATTTCGTAACCATGAATTTCCGGGCCCATTAAGCGGTAAAAGGCGTGGTTTAGGCCGATGGAATCGATCTAAATCTTTCAAACGCAGACCGCAGCAAGCCGGTTGACAATTTAAACCCCGAAACTAGTCAAAGCGGCCGTAGAATTTAAATATTACACGGCAAAACTAGTAAATCATCATTTTTTAGTTCTATGGGCAGAAAAGTAAAATTCAGTCTATCACCCATAATAAGCAATCAAAAAAATTCAGAAGCACGAAACACGACTTCTTCAAGCAGGTTAAACAGATAAAAAGCCACGGAAAAAATTATTATTTCCAACAGTCTACCGAAAAACGACGGCAACACGACAGATAGCCTAGAGGCCGCAAACAACAAAATCCTTGGCCAACGGAACACCCCTCTAAACAACAGTTTATTTGTGGGGCGGGGTGGGTGGCCGGCTGGGGAATGCACCTCGTCGCGACGACACGAATAGTCAGCTGGTAGGGGGCCCGTAGAGAGAGGGTGTTGAGGGCTGTAAGGTGATAGCTAACGGAAGGCGTGTTCTCACGTTTACCTGTCAAAAATGCTTATTATTTAATGGTTATTATGGCCTCAATTTGGCTCTAGCCCGAACTGTTAAAACAGTTTTAAATCAATTGTGTGCAAGGGAGACTCACAAGTTATACTTCTAACTTCTAACAACATAAATGAATTCTCCCTAAATTTTTGGCGCCCTTTTTCCGTTCTTCCCACTCAGCAGCTTCATCTAACGCAAAAGACGTGACCTGCGAAGCTTAGCAGCTCGCCAATCTTGCTGCTGAACCCATTCGATCAAACCTAGAAATCGAGAAATCATCCGGCCAACAAATCCATTACCGATCACCCTCAGCCACATCAACGGCGCCCAGGTGTGCGCGACCCATCCCCCGACAACCAAACAGGCGCGCGCGGTCGGCGTGATAAAGTGGGTGTGCGCAGGTATCTGCAAAGCGCTGCCAAACACTAGGTGTGCCGGCTGTAAATGTGCCCGAAGGTGGGTGGTGGCGCGGGTGTTGTAATACAATGCTGGAAACTGATCACGATTTCCTGCAAAATATTTATTCGATACGGCACCGATTGATACAAGCACAATACTGGCAAATGGCAAATTTGGGAATGTCGAAAATGTCTGTGCACAAGAAAAGATTTTAAAAGGTACATTTCCGACTTACAAAAGATTTTAAAATATAGTAAGAGCTTTTAGAAGGCTTTAAAAACAGCTAAAACTACATTTTGAAAGTACAAAAAAAGAATAAGTGGGCAGTGATTGTGAAAAATAGAATAAAATCAAGCAAAAAAAGATTAAAAGCTTCAATCACCTAATTTTCCTGAATACCAAAATATTGTTGTTTGCCGGCATGTCGTGCATGTGCTCGAACTGCAACCCATTATCAGCGGCGACCTGAAGTAAAGTTACTACAAGAAAGCTAGAAGATACTTACCTTTTTCAAATAGCTGACATCTCGCAGCCCCCATTCTGCATTCCGCTCCTTCAGGCTGGCGTCAAAGTCGATGTTGCTCTGAAAGTACACGTCAAGAAAAAACAGAACTTCCTTACTTGTGGACTGATCTTGCCGTCTTTTGCATACGGGCCGTAGGTGATCAGCAGGCCGGTGTCGGGCTTTAGCAGGTATCCGGCTGCCTGAAAATTGGAAATTACTTACAAACCAGGCTATTTCGGGATAGGAATAGAAGCCTTAGAGCCTAGACCGGAATACGCCAGCTTTTTGGTTAAATAAGACAAGGCCTAGAAATCGCAATCTAGAACTTTCCATCCTTTATTATGTATATTATGTATGTATGTCACAAATTAACTTATGGTTTCCGGCCAATAGGCAAAAAGAGTTGCCCAAAATAGCTCTTTTAGTGCTAAAAAGTGTACCTCAAACAACCCGCTGACCGCCGCGTTGCTGCTGATGTGAATCATGTTGGCGCTGTAGAGGACGTCAACCTTCTGCGGCGCGTAATCGTCGGGTAGCGCCCATTGCCCTGGTTTCTTGCTCACGTCGACGAAGAGCGGGACGCGAAAGTTGGCCAACTAAAAAAACACAAAAGTTGACGGCTTTCGGACTTCCAAAGCTGCAGAGAAACAAATTCCTACCTTCAAATGATCCACATAGGCGACGATCGAGTGAATCGAGCGGGGCTCACATTCCGACGGCTGGAAGTCCACCTCCGGAAATACTTCAGCAAAATGGGCGAGATGTTGGCCGGTGCCGGACGCGATTTCGAGCAACTAAAAAGCTTGGTAAAACAATGACAATGGCAAGCCCACTTTCAGCTTTCCCTTCAAGTATTGCTTCAGTACTTCAGCAATCGGGCCTTGGTTCCGCTCGGCGGCGGCAGCTCTTAGCATAACTATAAATAAGGTAATTTAGTGGACTTTTAGGGCGCACGGAGCGGAACGAAAGTTCAAACACGGGCCGAATGCGCGCTTGTGTCCTCAATCGTGTTCGCAGAGTCAAGTGCAGATACAATCAATAGTTGCCCGATGCGGCGCGAGAAACGGAACCCCCTCACAAAGTCATCAAACCAAGCCTGCAAGAATCTATCCCCGCTCAAGGAAAACGACCTAACTCAGCTGCAACTCATTGTTTCAATAGCCAAATGAAATCTCCAAAACGCAAACCCGCAAAAGATGAGTTCCTAACTTGCCACTGGAATGCTTTTTCAGAATAAAACAGGTACATAGTCATTTATTCCGATAAACAATTAACAACAACGGCGACGCATTACTCCTTGAGATCCCGCAGGCGACGGATGGTTGATCTGATGGTGGCAGCAGTGACGGTGCTGTAGACGTAGGCTCCTCCAGCGACCTTCTGGAAAAGAGAATGATTGAATGAGGCCAGAACAACACTATAGTAGGCAAGCGGCCCAACCTGCAAATCCCAATAGTGGTGCGAAAAAAAATCCAAAAAGTCCTACGCAAAACAAAATCAAATTCATCAACTGGGCTACCCCATCACCACCACAAAAGCAGACTGACCGACAAAAAATTTAAAGGTTTACCTTGTGGCACTTCGAGCATTCCCAGATTCCGACGGCCGACCTCTTCATTGCTTCCTTTCCGCAGAAGGCGCACGTGTACTTCGAGTGTTGGGTCGTCTAAAAAAAGGAAGTTGCAATTAGGGAACCCGAAAATACCTCTAGCTTCTTGGCCATTTTCCTCAACGAGGCGCCATAGCGGGTGCCGTACTTTCCGACGATGCCGACCTTCTTGGTGCGCTTGGCCATTTTAAACCCTGAATAAGTATTAAGGTAAGTCACGATAATGCAAATCAAGTCAAATATTCCTGGGTTGAAAACCCATCCGATAAAGTCCAACAATGTAAAACAACCAATCGCATTTTATTTTCTTCAACGCTGATAAGTTAGGGCGAAAACATGGATGACGATCCGAATGACAGATATGACTGTAAAATTTCAAGACAAAAATGCCTTGCACTCGGTGAAAGAGAAAAAGCGACCCAACAGACAACATGGAGCATGAAATCACAACGTGATGAAATGGTTTAGTTTTTTTAGCACTTCTCCTCCTCCAGCGCCTGCTTGACCAGCAACAGGGTGGGGACCTCCTCGCCATCAACGTCACGGTATTCGACGATGCACACTTGTCCTTCGCCGTTGCCCTCGGCTTGTCGCTCTCCGACGTAGAAGGAGAGGGTCTTGAACTTGTCCTTGGCGAGCAGACCGACGACCCAGGCTTGGATCTTCTTCTTGAATTCGTTGATCTCGGCCTCGGGCTTTCCGGCTCCGGTCATGTGGTCGATAACCTGAAAAGAAAAATTAGTAAAAAGAATGATAAACGATCTCTGCTGCGATACGCTTAGTTAGCAACCCGAATTTCTATCCGCTAAAGAAATACACGGCATCATCCGTATCCTCAAATTCGCAAGAATCGCGACACCGCAAAAGAGTTCAAGACTTTTAGAAAAACGACGCGAGAAACAGCCCAACAATAAGTGAAACTCATTTACCTTCTTCATGAATCCCTTGATGTAGGCCTTGAAAATGGAGGCATCCTCGTAGCAGTTCATTTCGACGAGGTTGTGGTTGAGGACGAAGTCGAGGCCACGCTGGACGGCAGAGTCGTCGACGCCATCATCACCGTCTTCTCCTTCAGCCGAGGGATTGGAGCCGGCAAGGATGATCTCTCCCTAAACAAGAATAATTGAAACCGGCCCGAATATTTACCTCCTTTCGCACGACGTGGCGTCCCTTGAACTCGAAGATCAGGTCGTCGACCAGCTTCATTGGGAAGGAGTCCGAGGCGAGCTCGTCACCTGAAAATGTACGCTCAATGAAACCCTCTCAAAGCAATAGCGAAGGCCTGCCTAACTCAAAGATGTTGAAATCAACGAGCACTGATTTTCCGCCGTTAACTCGCACAAAAACTATCGCGCCAGGGCTCCCGTTTGCGAGCAACAAAACGTTAAACACAACGGGAGCCAAGGCACAAGCTTTCATGCTTAAGGATAGCGGGAGTACAAGAGCAGACAGGCCCACCTATTCTCCATAGATAAAAAACTGACCGGTGAAGACATCCTTGTAGATCAGCATTCTGCCTGTGTATTACCTGGAAAAAGTAAGTTAGAAGGAGTCAAAAAAATCATGAAAACGGGCATGGAAAGCAAAAAACAGACATCGACGCAAAACGAAAAAATTCGCGAGGCAATTTAGGCCGAAAATCTGGGAGCGGCCGGGAGGGCCCTCTGCGTCTCTCGAGGGGTGGATACGGTCGATGGGGCGCAGGCTAGGCGTCACGCCTCCGGCCCCGGCCGGACCGGCTGTCGACGAAAATAAGAAGTTTTCAAGCAAAAAAGGTTATAAAATGTAAAATTGATAGGAAAAAAAAGATAAATCGATTGAAAAAGATTCAAGTAATATTTTGCAGGTAGGCAACGAGAACAAATTTGGGTAGTCTTGCCAATTTATGGGGGTTTTAGCCAGAGATTAGTCATCCGCTTTCATTCAAACTGAAACTTTTATAGCTTTTAGAAGGTTTTTAGAGGTCTGTTTGTTCGAAACAGCAAAATAGCTATGGAGCATTAATGGTTCGAACACCATTACCGGGAGAAAAACTGTGTAGAAACCTACAAAAATGATTCAAAAATTAAAATATTTGGCGAAGATGGACCATGCCGGGCCGAAAAAAAACACGTTTTTTTGTGTATTTTTAGATAAACGTTTGTGAACTTGGTAGGTTACTACGTTAGGAGTTGAAAAAGCCTGTCTGTAATTTTTTTAAATTTCGGTAGATGAGTATATGGGCTCAAAAGCTCCAATTTTGAAAAAACGGGCCGGATTGCCCCAGTAACCTTTCTTTTATTTGGACTTTAGGCTTATTCAGGCCGGCTTTTCATCGTATTTCGTCTGCCATGCGAAGATCCACCAGTTCGCCGTTCATCACCTACGACATAGCCCGATGCGAACTTGATGACTGACGGCTGCCCGCAATTAGCCCATCGAAATTCCCACACGCTGTTTTTATCGTGAAACAAGCCGTGGATTCGATCTTTCCAGGATCCAATCAACGACGCATCAACGTAGCAATTGAGTCCGGGCATCATCAGTGATAATGACTGGAATTTGGAGGGATTCGGAAGTGGTGGATTTCCCCTAGTGCTTGGCTAGCCCCTCCCCGTTTTTACAAGCAAGCGTTCAGCTTTGCTCTTGAAATTTCGGCTCTTTGCCTTTTTTGGGGTACTCAAGGGGCGGACGGCGGTCAATTACACATGTCGAAATTGCCTGTTCGCGGTAGCGTGCAAGCGCGGCTTTCCCTCAACAGGAGGAAGCAGGATGGAAGAAGACACATGCGTCATTTTTTTCGGTGACCACAGCTTGCATGCTTGTTTCCGCCTCACAGACTTTTCAGTGCTTTAAAATTGGCTAGGCGTTACCGTCCGCCGATTTCTCCGGCTGCTAGCAAAGATTCTTTGGGAATATTTTCTCACATAGCACATATAATGGACCTCTTTTGCAGCAATTTGCAGAAAAAAAACTCAAAAGTATCAGTAAAAAAACTGATTTTCGGCCACATTTTTGATGTTTTCAAATTTTAAAGATTAAAGTGTTTTAAAAGGGGATTTTCCGCTTGAAATAGTTAAATTTTTGCTATAGGTATACTTAAAACACTGACGATTACGTTACTAGGCATTGCTGGACTTATACAAAAATTCGATTTCCGCATGCTACCACCCCCTCCCCCCGATAATGCCAAAGAACCTTACGCAGATTGTCGGTCCTTTGTAATCAGTGGTCTTTCCGGTGTTTTTGACTACTCTACAATTATCTAGTTTCTCGGGGGGCTAGCAGGGGTTATTTGAGAATAGTCTTGCCAGTAGTACAGGCTTAAATTAGCCGTTTTTCTCAAACTTTTTGGATCTAAAGTCGTATCTACCACGTGTGTTTTTTTCGCAGTTCTCGCTTATTTTTTTAAACTTGAGTTTCGGTCTGTAATCTAATTTATTTTTTTAGTTTAGCGCCGCTTAAAAATAGGATGAAAACTGAATTTTCAAGTTTTTGACCCCCACCCCGTAAAAAAGAGCAGTACAGTGTCCACCCAAATCTCGAGCCGCCAAAATCTCGTCCTCCCCACCGGCACTCGCCATAAGCCGAGCTAATCAAATCGGCTTTGTACACCCTCTTTTTCTGGACTATCTGCCGGCAGATTTCTGGCATTTCAGGCGGCCGGTGGTGTGTTACCGGCTCTATAAGATGGCTGCTATGTGCTCGGGGGTGTCGGACCGGAATCCCGGTTTCCCCTCCCCGTCCGGCCAGCCCGAAAACAGAACCCGAAAAAATTTCGCTAATTCTCGTTCCTTGCGTAAACCCTGCCTCCTCCCAACTAGAGGGGAAGCGAATGAAGCGGGTAGAGCCGGCTTCTTTTGATTCTCCCCCTTCCTGCCTGTGCGATTGGCTGTGCCGAGGCTGCACTGGCGGAAGCTGAGGCTTTTCATTAGTATCATTCCAATTCTATATTGATTAGAGTAGTAATATTCTGTCAGTATACCTTATATTACTTTAAAGGTCGCTAATTGGAAAGTGTTACACTTCATTAGGTTACGGTATTTCATTAAGATTACTATGTTTTATTAGAGTAGTAATAACTTAAAGATCGAAATCAGTTCAAGCATTACAGCGTACTTACTACCATTACTACGATTTAATACTTACTATTACTTTGCATATCGTTAGTTAGACAGTCTTAATCGATTGATTTTGATCCTATTTTTGTTTTATTGGTTACTTTTTGCGCTTCTGTACACCTTGCGGAAATTATAACCTAAACTACAAACTACAGCTTGCACCACCGGTGTTCTTAGTTTCTTGATTTTTATCTTAAAAAGTATTTGTTGTATTTTGTTAAGCTACGGTAGCTGTAAAAAGCGCCAAAAATAGCTGGAATTTGCGTTTTTGTATTTGTCTACATCAATAGGAGGCTAAATAGCAGATTTCGGGCCGTTTGCCAAGCGGGCATGCATCAATAAATTCCTGATTTCTTAGCCTCTTTAAATCCACGAGACATGTCGAAATGATCTCTGCTATCTCTAAAAGTTTCATAATGAAATCGAAGATATTTCCGCTTTTTTGCTCATTCTTTCTGCGGAATCGAAATTTCGGCGTTTCCTAGCAAGTGCTAAAGCCCGCTAGGCATGTTTCCTAGAAACGCGATCTTGCTGCCAGATTGCGGCCGGCAAAAAACTTGGCGGAATTTCGTTCCTTCCGGCTTTTCCCGGCAAGACGATCGATTCGGAATTTTTAAAGGCTCTAGGAAGCCAAATTTCACGAAAATCTTGGGTATCTATGTGATATGTCATTTGTTACCTACCGTAATCCTTTCTTCATAATACGTGATAATTTTATTAAGGTTGAAAGCGTGTTTTTTCTAGCCTTCTCAAACGCGGGCCACCCCCAATTAAACCGAACCGATGCGACTGCGGTTTCCCCTTTTCGGGGCGATACTCTTTACGGCCGTTCAGGTAATTTTAAGATTCGTAGCGAAAACTAAAACGTACTACAGGGCTACCGTACCGTCAACTACTACACGGGCAAGGTTTCGGTCGGATTCGAGAATTTGGATGATGCTGCGGTAAGAGTAATTACCTTCCTTACTTACTTACTGGCTTACTTCCCTAATACCTTCTTGCGATTCAGGTTAAAGCTGTACTAGAGACACCATTTTCTGCGTCATTTGTCATGTCACGTAGTAGTAGAGACCCAATGAATAGCCACGGTTGATTTTCGCGTTAGCGTTCCTTCAACATTCTCTAAAAATCCAGAACACGTTCTTTGTTTTCTCCCTCCAGCTGACCTTTCGCGCCCCCCGGTAATCCGGCAGAGAAAAACCCGGAGAACCGGGCCGGTATCTCGTCTAATAGAGCCTGTTCTTATGTTCACCTCTTCGAATCCCGCAAAAATCGGGATTTTTCGGGCGGAAAGGGCGGATTTGGAAGCATTTATACGGCTGTTCGCTGACTTTTGAAAATTTCGCAAAGTCCTTCAAAACGATAAGCCTTGAAGTTGTGATTTCTAATGCAAAAATTGGTAGAAAATTCCCTGAAAAATTCATTGGTCGATGTGGCAAGCTGCCAGATCTAACTTAGGTTAAAATACCTCAAGAAATACGATATATATATTGCTTTTGTGGAACTTTAAAGGGGCAGGAGGCGCGAATTGACCACAGCCTCGACCTGACAAATCGATTTTGACGCCCAAGGCCAGGTTATGCAAGAAGATTAAGAATTCGATAAGGGGTATAAAACTCAATTAGATCGCTTTCCTTGTATCTTTAAAGGGGCCAGGAAGCGCTAGAATCGACCCCCGGCCTCGACTAGGTCTCGATAAGCTGAATTTGATGGACTATAGAATCCTGAATTTTTCCGAATTCAAAATTTTTTTACGTGTTTTTAGGCGTCATGCGTAGTTGTCAGGATTAAGTCTGCGGAATTTCTAGATTACCATACTTACTTGCTCCTTTAAAACACTATTTGCGACTCGGGTCGCCTATGGGCGGGCTAGGTAGCCTTACTGTCCTGTCCCGTACTGTCGCGTAAACGTAGCAATACAAGGTAGAACGTAGTACTCAGGCGTAGCTTAAAATACATTCTCGTCGATCAATGTTGAGCCAACCCCACCATCCTGAAAATAATCCGGATTTTCCCTCCTTACACCCACTCCATTAATTGCCGAGATCCACCACTTTGCCCCCAGCCATTTCCCCCCGGCCGATGGAATTTTTGGGCGCCTACGCGGCTTTTTGTCGCGCAAATGGAAGTGGTGCCTGGGGGACGAAAACAGGAATTCCGCCATGATCCTCCGGACAACCACCGGATCCCCGAGGCTCCGCCCGCTTCGAAATGCATCCAGGCATAATTTATCGTCCTCGATGCACTTTTTGTGCTTTTTCTGGCATGGGGAATCGGGAGTGGAACGGAACGCGGTTTCGGGAGTAGCTGGGGGATGAGATGTAAAGTGGATTCGAGATTGGGGTCGAGAAAGTGAGATAGAGAGAGAGAGAGAGAGAGAGAGAAAGGGATAGAGAGAGAGGTTGCAATTTATCATCGAACTTTATCGTCATTTTTCAGCCTCAACTAGTCCGCTACGCCGGCGAGCGATCCGGCGAAGGCAGCCAACAACAATCCCAAGAGGTACACATCAAAATCCAGCATTCTTGGACTTAACTTTTTAAAGCGACAATGACAAATAGAGACGAGCTACAAAATCATTTTTTAGCAAATAACCACAACACCTACGGAAGAATACCGTGTCCCCACGGCCCGACCCCGAAAGTCGAGGGCAAGACGGACCTCAGAGGAAACTTTTGATAGAATACCACCAACTGCTCGGCCGACACGATCACGCCGACCACAAACTACAACCGCTACTGAGGTTCTTAATTACTGTAGCGATCATATGTGCATACTTTAACATCTGATAAGCCTGCTTTTCAGTCCCCCGAACCTCTTCCGGCCGGTGAATTTGAGACGGGCGATTCTGGGGATAGAGCACCACCGGTAAGCTGCCCTTTGATAAAGCGCTTGTGGTAGCTTACGGTATGTAGTAGTCGTACGGCCAACTTTCAGCCGCCCCAAGAAATCCCGCCCGAGCTCCGTGCCGCCTTCGGATCCTTTGGAATCGGTGGTGGGGGAGGCAAGCCGATTTTTGAAGCCAAGGAGACCACTACGGTATCCGTGCCGACGGCCCGGCCAACCCGAAAACAGAAGAAGCATCGAAAGCATGAAGAGCAGGTTAGGAGTCATAAATACTTCAATTTTAGATGGCGATGACTTGAGATTTTTGTCAGTAAGCATTACGGTGCTTGGGAATTGTAGGAGTAAATGACGATGCTTTTTTGTTCTTACAGAAGGCTGATAATTCCCAAAAAGCCTCTGCAAGTCTGTCCCAGCTCCAAAAATACAAATTGATACCACCACTTTTTAGCCAACCACCCCACCGACCTCCGAATTTGAAACCGGTAGTTTTGGCGACAGGGCCCCGCCGGTAAGTATCGTACAGTTTTTCTATGTCTTGCCCAGATAACCGTACTATTATACCCTTTTTGCATTTTAGCCACCCTCCGAAATCCCGCCGGAATTGCAAGGAGCCTTCGGGGGAGGTGGTGGAGGTGGATTTGGCGGAGGAAGTGGAAGCGGAAGTGGATTCGGTGGAGGAAGCAGGGGAAGCGGCTTTGGCAGCGCGCCCAAGGCTTCGTTCGGCATCGGCGGTGGATTTGGCAACGCGCCAATTTTTGAGGAAGCTGAGACGACTGAGGAGCCAACTACTACTGCTCCGATTGCGACAAAGAAACACCGGAAACACCGGAAACATTTTAATCAGGTTGGTGTTGTCTCTCTCGCACGCCCTCTCTCTCCCCTCACTCTTGCTTTATCTCTCTCCCTCTCTCCCACTCTCTCTCTCTCTCTCTCTTTCTCGCTCTCTCGCTCTCTCACGCTTTCTTTATAAGCTCCCTTTTCCAGCCAAAAATCTTCCAACGAGTCCCCTCACAATACACCCATCGATCCGGCAGTCAGGAGCAAGAGGTAGCTTTAAATCTAAAACCATACTCCTTGAATTTCCAGGGAACCCGCCCGATACCTCCCGAACTCCGCCAAGTTCTGCAGCCAACGGTGCTGAGCGATGTTTTCGGAATTGCTGGCGTAAAACAGCCGGGGGAGAAGAGTTATCCTGCATCGGTAGGAGTCCTTAGTATTATAGATTTCCTATTTCTAGGTATTTTCCGAACCCTCATCCACCACCGACATGTACCGCATCGGCACACAGATCGAGGACGAGCTGGTCGGGGCTCAGGTTCGGACTTGGGCCTCAATTTGCTAACAAACTAATTTTTGCAATACATAATGTGATAGCCTCGTTTTTTAGACTCAAGAGAAAAAGAAGAAGAGAAAGAGGAAGCACAGAAAGAGGAAGACGAGACCGACGACAACGACGACAACTGAGCCCTCATACACTTCGGCACAGGAGGAGGATGAATGGAGTACGACTGGTAGGTAGAGGGAGCGCGAGAGAAAGCGATATTGGAGAGAGAGAGAGAGAGAGAGAGAGAGAGAGAACTCAATTTCTAGGAAGCGGCCCTGTCACCGAAGACGAGATGCGCCACCAGGCCGAGGAGGAAATCGCTGAGGAGGCCATGAAAGGTTAGCTTTTTGCCTTGATTTTATAGGGACTAGGTGGCTCGTTAAGCAACCCTTTCCATGGACTAGGTCTAGAAAAATACGCTCCGGTCCAAAACACGCATGCAATTTGTTAGCCTACCTATAAAATCTAATCCTATAACTCTCTAAGAAAAAAAAAGGGATACCCCTTTTATAACTCTTTTTTCCCCCGGGGTTTATATAGTACCTTACCCCCCCCAAAGATTAAAAGGGGAACAAGGGGGACCCCCCCCCAACCCCCACCCCCCCCCCCTCCACCCAAGAAAACCAAAAAAAGAAGGGACCAAAAAACCGCCTTTTTTTCCACCAATAACAAAAAAAATATATAAGGAGAAAAATATTTGAAAAAAAAAAAAAAGGAAAATTAGAAACCAAAACAAAGGGGGACCAAACCCAAAAAGAGAAAAAAAAAAAAGAAAAAAAAAAAAAAAAAAAAAAAATAAAAAAAGGAAAAATAAAAAAAAAAGAAGGGGGGGACTTTTTTTTTATTTTTTGGGGGGGGGTTTTTTTTTTTTTTTTTTTTTTTTTTTGGGGGTTTTTTTTGTTATAATATAGCCGGAAAGGGTTCCCGTAAAAAAAACAAAAAAAAAGTTATTAGAGTTTTTCTGAGGGTGGGAGGAAAAAAAAAGCCTAAACCGCCATTTGGAGTAACGCGTTGTTGTCGAGTCCTAGCAGATTTGGGGTCGATTCATGCCTTTTATAATCCTTTAGAAATTTGCATAATTCGTTTTTTTAGTAAAAGCCGAATCCGAGCGCCTGCGCGCCATGGAAGCGGAGCGAACCCGGGAGTTGCACGCGAAGAAGAAGGAGCTCGAGAGACTGCAAGAACAGATCCGGCAGAAAAAGCAGGAGCTCCAGGAGCAAGAGCGGCATATTCAAAGTCAGCTGACCACCACGACAAGCACCACCACCGAACGGCCCGCCAGCGAGGAGTCTTTTGAGTCGGTGGGTGTCGTAAATAAGCGTAAAAAAAACGAAAAATGCAACGCGACAAATTCTCGTGCGAATCCATGGCCTGCAAAATCGTTAGCCCTGCCTTGCCCGGTCCTTTAAAGAGATTTTCCAGGTCGACGAAGAGGAGGATGAGGCGAGAAGGGCCCTACTCGAGCAGAAGAATCGTAAGAAGAAGACGAGAAGGCCGGTGGCAGCTGGGGTACGGTGTAAAAGGCAGAATTTTGAATGGAAGCTTTTGTAGGCGCGTCCCCTGCCAGAAATTCCGGACTCGATGAGGCCCGCGGCGAGCCCGGTGATGAACCATGTCGAAGTTGAGCCGCCAATCATCACGAAACGGCCTGGTCCGAGTGCTGTTGAGGTAGAGAGAGAGAGAGAGAGAGAGAGAGAGAGAGAGAGAGAGAGAGAGAGAGAGAGAGAGCGAGAGAGAGAGGCAAGCGAGACAGAGAAACGGATAAGGCTTCACTTTTTCCAGGCCATCCCTGAAGACGACACCGCATTCGGCACTTCCGGAGGTCTGGGCCCGCCGGAAGGTTTTGGATCCGGTAGTGGCTTCGGCGGTGGAGGCGGCGGTTTCGGAGGAGGAAGCGGATTTGGAGGTGGCAGTGGGGGCGGCTTCGGGGGTGGAAGCGGCAGTGGATTTGGAGGCGGAAGCGGAGCAAGCTTTGGCAGCAAAAAGTAGGGAAATGTCTGTGTTCTCTAACATATTCACAGCGGCCCAAAAGCCTTTGGCATTGGTTCGTACAATCCGACAAAAGATGAGGAGCACTCGGCAACTGAGAAACCTACTGGATATCAAGAAATTAAGGTAGAGTGAGAGAGAGAGAGAGAATGAAAGATAGATTGAGAGACAGACAGAGAAAGCGAGACAACTCGTTGTTTAGAGCTTCCCATACCCAGAAGAAAAGGTTTCAACCACGCCAACCGAAGAATCGGCTTTTAAAGGATCCTGGGCCAAGGAAACGACCACACAACCGACAAGTATCAACGTTTTCAAGTCGCTAATTTACTTTTTTTGCAGCCACAACCGCTCAAAAATGGTCCAACGAATACGCGAAGAAGTACTACCAGGAGTACTACAAGGAGTGGCTCAACAACCAGACAAAATTGCACGAGAAAAAGGAGGAGAAGACAGTGGCGGTGGATACGGTATGTTATGTTTAAAGGGATGGATGTCGGAGGTTATCAATATCTTAATATCTTACCAAATATCTTATATCAATCCTGGCACGTTGCCGTAAAATAGCCTCAAAAAGTTACCCTTTCAGAGCCTAAAACAGCGCCCAAAGCTGATGCCGACCGGTGAATCTGCTCCTCCACCGACCCCGGTGCCCAAGGATACTGTAGGCGCCCATTCACCAGTGCCACTTTTTGCTGCCCTATTTACACCAGCCCCTGGAGTGGCAAGCAGGAGTGGCTGTGACGCCGGTAAGTAACGTAGGCCTCGCGAAGCCTAAGCCTAAGCTAAGCCCAAGCTAAGACTAAGCTAATTCTAAGACAAATCTCGGCAAAGCCTAAGTCAAGCCTAAGCAAGCCCGAGCCGGCGCAAAGCTTAAAAGGCCGTCCGCCAGCCACCCGAACTGTCCCCATTATGGCTTGGCACAGTTTTTTCGACCTTATTTTTATGATGCCATCTGAAAGAGCGTGGCCGAATTAGTAGGGTGGCATAGTTTTGAAAGTTTAAAAAGTTGATTTTTGAGGTTTAAATGGCCGTTAAAGTTGCCGACATCGAAAACCTATTTCGAAAATTACTGGTCGAAATTTGCAGAAAATTTGTGACAATACCTAATTTTGGATGGAGATCATTTCTCTAATACATTTCGAAACCTGAAAACGGCTGGAACATAGGAATCTCGCGTACTAAAAACAGTTTTTTAAGATTTTCTACTTAATGGGAAAACGGCGGCATCCTGAAAGTGGCATAGAAAGATGCGCCAATTTTTCTACGATCGAATGATGTGTCTTTTAGGATGCCGCCGTTTTCCCATCATCTAGAAAAGTCGTGATCTCTGGAATCAACAAAAGTAGCCTTAGAAGATCGGGGGCCGCTAATGAGAAATATAAAGGATTGCAGAAAGCATCTAGAGATCAATGCCACTATTATCAAAAAAGAGCAAATTTAAATTCCTCATCTACGCGATGTTGAGTACGGAGGGGAATCGAACCCGCGATGGTCCGCCTGGGGGGCGCGGGGGACAGAGGCTAGAGGGCGCCGCCACCTCCCCAGGCGAACGACCCGAGTTCAATCCCAGCCCCCTTTTAGAAACCGAATTTCTTTTTGCTCTTTTTTGCAATTGACTTGGCTGCGCTTCTAGAAGCAAGTGGGTAACTCCCCGTTTGCAAATCTGGATATTTTTCTTTTTTTCAGCAAGAAAATGCCGTTTTTACAGATGATGGGAAAACGGCGGCATCCTAAAAGACACATCATTCGACGTAGAAAAAATTGGCGCATCTTTCTATGCTACTTTCAGGATGCCGCCGTTTTCCCATTAAGTAGAAAATCTCAAAAAACTGTTTTTAGTGCGCGAGATTCCTACGTTCCAGCCGTTTTCAGGTTTCGAAATGTATTAGAGAAATGATCTCCATCCAAAATTAGGTATTGTCACAAATTTTCAGCAAATTTGGTCCGGAAATTTTCGAGATAGGTTTTCCATGTCGGCAACTTTGGCGGCCCTTTAAACCCCAAAAATCAACTTTTTAAACTTTCAAAACTATATGGCCCCACTAATTCGATTATGCTCTATCCGATGGCGTCAAAAAAACTAGGTCGAAAAAAACTGTGCCAAGCCTATTTCGGTCCTCCCCGTAAACGGCCTTTTAAGTTAGTCGAAGCTAAGCTTAAGTTAAGCCCAAGCTAAACGAAGCTAAGCCTAAGCCAAACCTAAGCTGGGACTAAGCCAAGCCAAGTAAAGCCTAAGCCGTTTCTTTTCAGGCCCCTCTACCCACCCGAACGATGCCACCACCACAACCCGTGCAACAACCCCAATACCTGCCCGTCCAGCCCCCAGTTCAACCCCAACCCGCGGCGCCCACTCAACCTCAGCAATTCCCGGCCCCATTCCCGAACCCCTTCCAGATGCCGCCGGGCATGATGCCGCCCGGTGGTCTCCCACCTGGAATGCCACAAGGACAAGGACAAGGGAATATGTTTGTAGGTTTTTCAAAAATTATTCTATTTCTCGACGGGATGTGCTAAAAAATATACACCTACCGTGCGTAAAAGGGTCCGTTTTTGCAACTTAGGGTTTTATCTTCGGGGCAGTCGTTTTCAGAGTTGGTACCATTTTTTAACTGATAATCTTGAGATGTTTTCAGGGAATCCTCGATCCCCGTATGGGCCAACGCGGTGATCTCACCTTCCAGCAATTAAACCAAATCTGCACCTCCATCCGAACGGCGTCCAGGTACGATTAAAACCACTATCCATTACAACTTTTAAAAATCTTTAAGAGCCTTTGGCATCGAGGACATCAAGGGCTTCGCCAAGATGAACTGCGGCTTCATCTCGGCATTCTACAAGTAAGGCCTTGGATTTAGCAAAAATAGCAAATGCAAAATGCCCACTACAGGGTGTCCAAAAAAATTGTTCCGGACTTTGGGCTCGAATAACTTTTGATAGAAGAATATTTCACCGTGCGTTACCATGCCAGAATGCTTAAAAGTGTCTGGAACTCCGATTTAGATCAACTTGATTTTTTCGATTTTTGG